TCAGAGGGATAATGTTTTAGCACTTTCTATGGGGAAGCTGGTGTCTTGCTGATTCTCCCCTGTGTCTCTGCACTTTGTAGGGGAGACCAAGCTTATAGAAAATGACAATTAAGGTAAAAGATTTTGTGGCACCAGTGGACCACATACTTTGTATGAAGTAGTTACTAGTATCATTCTTCATTGGCTATAATGACCAGGACTGATGAGATATGCACTCCAGCTACATTTAGAGGGCCACAATAGCTAGAGGTGATTGTTTCTCCTCTATACCATATACAGAATTATGTCTTGTTTTAAGAACAGAGGACAGAACCAAGAATAGTATCATTTTTCCTTGGCTATAATGACCAGGACTAATGAGATATGCACTCCACCTACATTTAGAGGGCTACAATAGCTAGAGGTGACTGTTTCTCCTCTATACCATATACAGAATTTTGTTTTAAGAACAGAGGACAGAACCAAGAATAAACAACACATTCCATGACATATTTTGAGGAGCTGGATGCTTTTAACTCAAGTCAAAAATATCTGCGTGCAGTCTTCCACACAAGCATGTTTGTTGGTTCATGATTACCTGGATTGAGTTTGTGTGTACTTGACTTTAGAATTTTGTATAAGGGGGAAAAGTGAAGATACAATCACAATAGTGGTTGTCTGTGCATTAGAAGATTCACAGCATAGTTTACACTAATTTACACTACGGAAGGGATTTTTGGATATTTTGGACAACCCCATAATTATCCATAAGTTTTCAAATACTTGAAAGGTAGTCATACAGAGGAGGAGCAGGATCTGTTCTTGACCATCACAAAGTACAGGGCATGTAATAATTGGTTCAAGCTACAGGAAGCCAGATTTAGGCTGAATATCAGGAAAAATTTCTTAACTGTTAGAGCAGTATGACTGTGGAACCAATTACTTCGAGACATGTTGAGCGCTTCCAATACTGGAGGCATTCAAGAGAAAATTGGACCACCATCTGTCAGATCTGATTAGACTTGGATTCCTGCAGTGACAAGGGGGTTGAACTCTATGGCCTTATAGGTCCCTTCCAACTCAATTATTCTGTGATTCTATAATAAATAATGGGCAGTTTGGAAAGAAATAGTTATGCCTCAGCACTTGATTGTCCTGATCCATAACCTGTAGCTACCATCAGGACAGAATATGGAGAGAGAGAATGGTTTCCTATAGGCAAAGGTTCCAGATAAGGGTGCATTTTATCCCCTTACATGTTCAATCTGTACACAGGGCATATTATATGGAAAGCTGGACTAAATTCAGATAAGGGAAGTGTTAAAATTGGTGGAAGAAATGTCAATAATTTAGGAGATTTTTTTTTATCATGTAAACTGCCAGAGTGGCCTTGGTAGCTAGATGGGTGTTTCCTATAGGCAAAGGTTCCAGATAAGGGTGCATTTTATCCCCTTACATGTTCAATCTGTACACAGGGCATATTATATGGAAAGCTGGACTAAATTCAGATAAGGGAAGTGTTAAAATTGGTGGAAGAAATGTCAATAATTTAGGAGATTTTTTTTTATCATGTAAACTGCCAGAGTGGCCTTGGTAGCTAGATGGGTGGTATTATCATGTGAACTGCCCAGAGTGGCCTTGGTAGCTAGATGGGTGGTATGAATGAATGAATGCGGATAAATAAATGTGGATGACACCCTCTTACTGGCAGAAAGCAGCTCAAATGAATGAATGAATGCGGATAAATAAATGCGGATGACACCCTCTTACTGGCAGAAAGCAGCAATGACTTGAAATGACTTGAAAGTGAAAGAAAGTGCCAAAACAGGAGTGTAGCTGAACATTAAGAAGAAAAATAACTACAGAACTACACAGCTTTAATGTTGACAATGAAGAAATATAAATATTTTTTAAAATTGTATATCTTTGTTCAGTCGTCAATCCTTATGAAGACTGCAGCTAAGAAACCTAAAGAAGACTGAGGCTTTGAAAGGCAGCAATGAAAAAATTAGAAAAGATCATAAAGTTTCACCATGGACCAAGGCCAAGATCAATCACACTATTGTATTTCCAATTACTGTGTATGGGTGTGAAAGCTGGAGGTGAAGAAGGCTGAGAAAAAAAAATTGTTTGAAATACTGTATGGTGCTGAAAGAGTTCTTTGCAGATAGAGTATCAAGAACTGCCAAAAAGTTGAACAAGTGGATCCTAGAGCAAACCAAGCCTGAACTATCTCTGGAGAAAAAATTGTGAAATTGAGACTGTCATACTTTGGGAACATCATGAGAAAATTAGAATCTAAAAATAACGCTAGAAAAAAATTGAAGATAGCAGGAAAAAAGAAAAACCAAATATGAGAAGGATGGGAGTGGCTGTTATAGTGTTGAGTTACTTTGTTAGTTTGATTAATAAAGTTGTGTTGAAAATAAGTGTCAACTTCTGTTCTATGTCTGGATCTTTGGGACTCTTTGACACCTCCCCATGGAAGACTTGGGGGCATGCACACTTCGTTTCTTACCCCCCCCTCTCTGCCACTTGCTCTCTTTGTAAATTGTGGCTCTAGGCCATTAAGACCTTTAAAGGTTAGAAACAGCGCCTTCAACTAAGTGGAAATAAATCTGCATCTTTGAAACTGATGTAAGATTGATATAATCTTGTATGTTTGACTGACAGCAGTCTGAATGATGGTATTGACATCTGGAGTCAACTGAAGTTTATGGGCAGTCTTCAGGGGTAGCCTTACTTAAAGCTCATAACAGTGATTTCAACTGGAAAGTGGCTAGAGCAGGGATTACTGGAGCAAAGTCTGGGATCCCTCTTCTTTATTTACCTCATAGCTTTCTTGTAAGGCTAAACAAAAAGGAGTAAAAGTGAGGTGCCAATGAAACATTATTTATTTATTTGTTTGTTTACATACTTTATTTCCATTTTTATACCTCCCCATTAGTGTTGCCACTCTGGGGAGTTTTCAAGAGATAATAAAAACATAACACAATAGATTAAATACAAAAGACACCATAAAACACAAATAATCCCGTCACTAGTTGAAACTATTTTTGAATTGAAAAACACAAATTAAACCCATTTGAACATCTCAGGATAAATTTACACTAATAGAAGGCAGCTTTGTATAATTCAGTCTTAAACAGTTTCCTAAAAAGAGGGAGGGATGGTGCCTGGTAAACCACCGAGAAAGCTTGGTTCCTTGTGCAGCTTTTTTGGTCTCCTTAGGTGTTACAAATAAAACACCCATATGAAGGTCAGACCTTAAAGTCTTTCCATACATTTTTCAAGTTAATGCAGGCATATAGAGTGCAGGTGTCCTTTGAAGGTCCTGTATAGGTTGTAGGATGTCAGGGACTTTACCTTTGCTCAGCACTAAGCCCCTTTTGTAAGCAATGTGGCGGAGACTGGAAATGGGCATGACATAGGTGTAATAGGTGATGCAATGCTGTGAGTTTAAAACTTTCATAGATCTCCACCCCTCATGCTTTTTATTGGAGAGATCTATCCTATATCCTCTTTATTAATAACCTTCGCAATCTTCTGTTAATCATACTGGGGATAAATACAGTTATCTTTATATATTACCAGTACAGTATTTTCCTTGTGTTGTGGGGCTAATATTAGGCATAGGAGGTGATTCAGATTTAGAAACGAGCACTGGGGTTTAACTCCTTAAGAATATGCATGTTGAGACAGATGTTGAACTAGATTGATTCTTTGTATACTTACAGAGGTATAGAGTGCCAAGCAGATCAGCTATTTTCTTGGCTAGGCCTTTCCCCCATTAAGTTTGTTCTTGCAGCTGACAGAGAAAGAACAGACCTCTTACAGCAGTGTTTCCCAGCCTTGAGTTTTCATATGTTCTTGGATTTCAGCTCCCAGAAATCCTGGGCAGCACAGCTTGTAGTAAAGGTTTCTGGGAGTTTTAGGCCAAGAACATCTGGAGGGACAAAGTTGGGAACTATTGTCCTAGACCTAGAGCAAGGGTGGGCATCTGTAGTACTCTACAGTATATGTTGTTGCCCTACAGCTGTTACTATTTGTCCTAGACCTAGAGCAAGGGTGGACATCTGTAGTGCTCTATATGTTGTTGCCCTACAGCTGTTACTATGGTGCTTTGTGAGAGGTACAGTCCCAAAATGCTTGAGGGGCTACAACTGTCTGCCTGTGGCCTAAAGTTTAGAAAGAACCAGATATATATCGTTTGATATGTGGAAATAAAACTAAATTAAATATCTTGAGTTTGGGGATTTATAATACATAATTTATAAATTTATAACTTTATAATATATAATTAGCCGCCTAGAGTGGTCGAAATGATTGGAATTTATAATACATAATATTATTTATGACTGAGGGGGCAAGGAGCTTATCTCTTTCCTCTCAGTTATTACGACTGAGCGGGATTAAATGCTTTTGCTTTAACAAAATTTGTAATACATTTGTTACCCTGGAAAGTTTGACAAGATGCCATTTTATTAACACACAAACAATTTAACAGTTTATCATAAAAATAGTTCATATATTTTACAGTATATTTAATAAAAATTGACAAAAGCCTATATATTTGTTTCCTGTCTTTATTGTCATATTTGACTGGTTATAAAACATAACATTCATAGCTTTATCCTATCATCAATTTGGAAAATATCTTTCCAAGCATTCATTCAGCTGTCAGACATGTGACCAAATGCTGGCTTAGATGTTCTGTGTTTTCATTAGATATTAAAGGAAGGGAATGTTGCTTCCTGTCTTAGCAATGATTGTTTTGCATTTATTGGATGTATAAACATTCATTTATTGGATGTATAAGCATTTCCATTTTTATACCTCCCCATTAGTGTTGCCACTTATTGGATGTATAAGCATTCAATGAGTGCAAACTAAGGAAGAATCTTGACGAAACCAATGGCAAGTGGACAATCATGAATTCTATCCCCCAGATGACTATAAAAACATTTCTTAAAATGCAGTTTCTAAGTGGTGATAACAACCATTTATTTTCCTTTGTAAAGGTAAAGCTGAAAACATAATATTTACAAACGTTTGTTTCTGGATCATAGAAAGCAGCCATGAATGACGTTGCACAGAAAGCAGAGGTATGTATGTTGCTTAAAGGGGAAATGTTCATAAAATGTATTACACTAACTTTTACTATATTCTAACTTTACCGTGTAAAATAAGGAAAGTCACCTTAGGTGCAAGATTCACAAGATACAACATGGCTATCTTTCGGGAGGTAGAGCAGTTGCCAGTGAGCAAAGGCACAAATCTTACAGTCTTCTTATAATGTTACTTTTTTCCAATCTAGAGAGAACCACATGAAGTCAGAGGGGAAAGAGAAAGTATACCTAGATTCACACTTCCAATATTGAGTGAAGAGGGGGCATTTTGTATAGGGAAGGTACAGTGTCTAACTTTCAATTGATACAATGTTAGCTATCTGGTTTGGGGATCCAATATACTACTTTAAAAAGCCTTAAAAATAAAACTCCGAAGGAAAATAAATAGTGCTTTCAAAAGGAACTTTATTGCTTCATTAAAATAATACAGGTCAGAATCCTACTAGTATTCATATATGATTTGCTGTGGCTAATTGATTAGATGTCACAGCACACCTTGGCTGCACAATTGACATGTCACCAGTCACATGACCAAAATGCAGCCTAACAATTCATCAGTTAGTTGCAGAAAGTTATAGCAATAGGATTCTGGCCACAGTTGCAAGGAGATCAATAATATTTCAGAGTGTAAAATATTTATACTTATAGGCATGGACTAATTTCACCCACAGAATGTTTAAAACATATATGTATTGGCTAAATTCCTATTTTTATGCCCACTGGTGTTAATATAATTAGTGCTAATGTTCAGCAGCAAATTGTCACATGAAGTAGACATAGGCATCTTCTATCGAACACAAGGCACATGACTTGGTGTGTGACAAAAGATATGTATGTGGACTTCTTATAGCAATTTTCTCCTGGCTGATGGCATTATATCACCAAGCATAACAAATACAATTTTGGCCAGTGTACTATTAAAAAATTATTAATAATTGTAGTTACCGTCACTGAAATCCTGATCACATATCTTTGCTATGTAAGGCTCATGATGATCAGCTTTGGTGATTTTTTCAAGGAAAAGGATTTCTGATCCCTCCAGCAAGATCCCAAGGGTTCCATGGAAGCCCTTTTCTTGTGGAGAAGTCTGTAATCTCAGAACACTGCAGCCAATGATAAAGTCATTCCAGTGGTGGCAGTTTTTGGAAATGAAGGACTCCCTCCCATCTCACAGCTCCCAATGGCTTGCCCATGATGAAAGTGGTTCTACAGGAGCCTTTGGACTTTCAGGGAAGGTAGAGGGAGTATTTGATTTCTGAAAAATTACTCCAGCTGATTATGTAATCACTGGATTTTTAGGAATTGTTATATGACATTATTATTATATTTACATAACTATTACAATTACATATTTACATTAAAGTAGAAGTTCAATAATCATGAGATGTTTAATTAACAACTCATTAACTGCTCATGCTATGTGGGCAGCCTATGTAGAATTGCCACATTTCATGACTGTCTGAGTTGAACAGACGAATTGGGTACATGAAGCATATTATTGCTGTGATTTTTTTTCACAAAAGTGACACTTGCCGTATTTCTTGGTATCAGCACTGGTAGAGGCTGTATCAGTTCTGAGGCTGCCCTCTCACTGTCCTAGGCAAACTGCTGATAGCCCTAAACTCAGGCCTCGGTTTGATAAATTCTAAACCCAGGTCTATTAGGAATTACTAGTGTCTTTTAGGATGCTGATTCCCTCAGAGGTATTCAGCTTTCAAACAGTATAAGTATTTTAAGTCAGCACATGCACACATATCACTGTCGACTTTTAAATTGAGCATTTAAAGTATATGCAGAGACATCTTGAAAATTCAGTTACATGAAATCTATTTTTCATGTACAGAATCTTAGCTGGATTCAAAGTCCCCCCTTTCCCCCACTTGTTAACAAAATCAGGTGCAATACACTATGAACTGAACAGGAAAGCATTAAAGATGGCAGAGAAGAGCTTGTACTGAGATTATGTGAACTGCTAATTTTTACATAGGCATTACAGGTCTACAATTAACTTGATACACTGAAGATGCACATTGGGTGGTTATAGTTTATATGGTCACATTAATTGGCCCCCAAAGCTGCAAAGATTTAAAAAAAAAATAAAAATCACTAGATTGCAGATACATAAGGATGAAATACCACATGGCAATTCCCAGTTCATTATAGTTGAGGAAAACCTCAGCACTGAAGGGTAGAGGAGTGACAGAAATTTTGTTATGATTGTCACCCCATTTATTGACAAAGAAATACTGTAATAATAAGCAAGAAACTTTCTCTTAATTCAAGAAATTCTATAAATTTAGACTGTACAAGGCAGTTTGGAATACAGAAATGTGTTTGTATAGTCTGTTTCCATAAATCTTACATTCTGTCTCACGTTCTGTACGATTTCTCTTCATCTGCTTCTCCCATCTTTTTCCTGTCTTTGCATTCTCTGCATCTATACAAAGATTCTGCTTTCTTCGTCTAAACCTATCCAAAAGTCCTATGTGCCCAAACTTCGAAAGGGTGACGTAAAGGATAAATTTGAAGCCATGCAGAAAGCAAGGGAAGAAAGAAATGAAAGACGATCTAGGGAAGAAAAGCAAAGAAGAAAAGAACAATATGTTAGAGAGAAAGAATGGAACAGGCGAAAGCAGGAGGTCATTTACTTTGCAAATACTTGTTTCTGTTACTTTTGTTTCTTTTTTTACTTCAACACTGGTGTAGAAAATGCTTTCTAATTTTATATAAAAGCTCCGGAATTTTGATTTCAGAATCATTAAAAATTAATATTTTTGATCCCCTATTTAGATGAAAGAACTACTTGCTTCTGATGATGATGAAGAAAAATCTTCTAAAGTAGAGAAAGCGTATGTTCCAAAGCTGACAGGTGAGAATGAAGCATTAAAGTCCATGTTATAAAGGAGTTGTGTTCATTCATCTGTGTTTTGCTAATTACTGATCAATGCAACAATCTGTGGGGCAGCCTTTCAAAACAATTTGAGAGCGATAGCTAGTGCATTGTGTTGTGGCCTGTTTCCTGAAATTGACAGTATGTAATACATCAGCCTATACTGGTCCAACTTCACTGGTGGTCTCCAGGCTCTTGGGTCCAATTCAGACTGTTACTAAGCACATTTGAAGCTCTCCATGTTCTGAGTGCTTGCAGAAATTCTTTCCACTATCTTATCTCATTCCTTCTCAGAACTAGACAGGATGTGCTATTTTGGGTTTCATTTCTTGCAATAGTGAGTTCTACAAAAGGTGAAAGGTCTGTCTTCTTGCTCAGGGTGCCCCCTATTGTTTCTATTCTTCACTTCAGTGCCTGATTAAAACTTGACTGATATTGGTTGTTGTGGGTTTTTCGGGCTCTTTGGCCGTCTTCTGAAGGTTGTTCTTCCTAATGTTTCGCCAGTCTCTGTGGCCGGCATCTTCAGAGGACAGCACTCTGTGCTCTGGTGAAGTTTGCTTGGGAGTTGAGTATTTATGGCTGTAAGATAGGCTTTTGTCCTTTTCAGGAGATGGGTGATTAGTGTGTCTTGTTGTGGGTGCATTGTTGTCTGGCAAAATACACCAGAGCACAAAGTGCTATCCTATGAAGATGCTGGCCACAGAGACTGGCAAAACTTTAGGAAGAACAACCTTCAGAACACGGCCAAAGAGCCCAAAAAACCCACAGCAACCATTAGATCCTGGCCGTGAAAGCCTTCGCGAATACATTGACTGATATTCTTTGTATTCTGGGTCCAAGGACACCTTTTGCCCTTTGATTTTAATCCGTATTTTTCGCTTTTATTTTAGAATTAACTTTTAGTCTGTGCATTGTAACTTTTTTTCTGTGATGATTGCTACTGTTGCTAGTTCAGAACATTCATAAAAATTTGTATGTCTAGAATGTAATTTTCTACATTACTTTTCTGGCAACAAAGTGAGGATCAGAGATTAAAGTGAATCATTCTCTGTTGCATTTCCTGTTCGTAGGGACTGTCAAAGGGAAATTTGCTGAAATGGAAAAGCAAAGGCAGGAAGAAGAAAGAAAAAGAATGGAAGAGGAGAGGCAGCGAAGAATTGAGCAAGATTTGATAGAAAAAAAGAAAATTCAGAGAGAACTGGCAAAAAAGGCACAAGCGGTATGAGTACAACATTTGACAAAATACCCTTTAAATATTAGAAGTGTCCAAATAAATTGTAAACATACAGGAAATATTCACTTTAGGCTTTGAAAACAAGTGCAGAACCTTTGAAGCACTGTGTTGTATATACAGCTTTTTTTAAAAAAGAACTTATTTTAATTCCACACTAGTACTCCATTTACTACAATTAATATTAAGGTCTTCTCTCTTTTGGTGTGTAAATATGTAAAATTTGATACCAATCAGTTACACTGTCCTGTTGAAATACACTGTCTATTTACCTATCAATACATGGAGCTTGGTTTTTTAAAAAATGGTTAGGGAACTTTCACATGCTGAATAATTTATTTTTGCTTGTATATTGCTGATTTTTTTTTGTTTTGTTTTGTTTTAAATTACAATATTTGGATCCAGAGTGTCCCTCTTGCAAAGAGCTCCATCAGTTTGCAGGTCTGAGATGCAGTGGATTCTGCTCCTGGAACAAAAGAGTGGGAGATAATCCCCCCAATTTCTCTTGAAGAGGAAAGCAGCTTTGTGAAGCAATTTTTTAAGGGGGCACAGAAACAGGAGGAATTGGTGAAGATCTCCTCTCTGCCGTCCTCCAGCAGGAGAGTCCCATGGGTGTAATTCTAGTGACAGACAAGCTTGATCTAAATCAAAAGTATAAGCTTTCTTAGGGAATATGAGATGCTAACCACCCTTGGCTTTTCGATAGCCAGAATTTGGGAACAAACCTTGACCAAGTTCTAGGTTCTTAACTTTTTAGTGACACTGAAGGTCATTTCGGTGTCTCTTTATAACCTATGTGAATCCTGAACCCTAATACTGAGCATATAAATGTCTGAGACTCTCGGATTAGGTTCCTAATGCTTTCATTTTCAATGAAAGCCAGGATATTGTATGTGAGTAGGTTGGTTATTAGTATACAATGGTGCCCTGTTAGACGATTACCTCGCAAAACAACGAATCCGCACGACGATGAGTTTTTGCGATCACTATAGTGCTTCGCAAAACAGTGTTTCCTATGGGTGATTTTCGCTATAGAATGTTTCGGACTGTGCTTCGCAAGATGAGTGTTTTGGGGGTTTTTTTGACCGATTTTTGCAAGACGGCGATTTTGACAGCTAGGTCTGCAACTTGCAAAACGGGTGTTTTCGGGACTGTTTTTCACAAGACAGCGATTTTAACAGCTGATTGGTGCTTCGCAAAACGGTTTCTATATGGGCGATTTTTGTAAAACGACGTCGATTTGTCCCCATTGGAATGCATTAAATGGATTTCAATGCATTCCAATGGGGAACCGTATTTCGCAAGATGATGTTTTCACAAAACAGCGATTTTCACAGAATGAATTAATATTGTCTTGCGGGGCACCACTGCAAATGTGTCTTGTATCATCATAAACCTGATAAAGTAACCGCCTCTAGTGTACATACCACCTTGCAAGACTGTAACATTTAATGTGCTAGATTAGAAATAGAAAAGTGAACATTTTCAGGTAACATGATCTAAACATGGATGTTGAAATAATAAATGGATGTTTCCTAGTGTTTGATGGAGCCAAGTGAAAGCTGTACAGAACTGGAGAGATGCAATACATTTTTGGTCCGATTACAAGCAAACAATTTGTTGGCATGTAGGAAATGAAAGATTAGCTTTGATATACAGTAGTATAAACTGTACACCATATAGAAAGTAAGTTGTACTTGTAGTTCTTTTACAGGATTTATAAAGAATTAACAGCATTTTCAGAATTTTGAAATTGGCAGCCCATCAATTCAAAGGTTTTGTGGGGGGAAAGTACATATGTATTTCACTTGCAAAGAATGAAATGAAGCTAAGTGATTAAAATTATTGTGACTCTATGCTGATTTGATAGTATTTTGGTCTCAGCAATGACAGCCATCTGAGTCTTCACAGAGAGTCATGGCTGGACAGAGTTCCAGTGTTTGTTATAGCCAGTGTTAGCAGCACTGAAGACTGCCATAAAAGGCCTACTAGGTCCTGCAGCTAATTGGGCCACCCATTCATTATGTGGATTGAAAGCATCTTGAAGAGTAACTGGAGTAGACGTTTTCTGATCATAAAGTCACTCCGGTCAACTCTTTATTAACTTTCCTCTTCAATGGTGTTCTAGGTTTTACACCCTGCCCCTGAATCCACTATTAAATTGATGAATACTCCTGGTGGTAGCATTGCTAAACTGCAGGTTATATAATTGGAGAGGCATGTCACTACAATTAAGTGCTATGAGGAATGTTCCCATGGGTCACTGAGTGGTGCTTCTTAGTGACTTCCATGTAGGCACTGTAATATTTAAATTAGACATAACTTTTAATTGGAAAGCAGCGATGGTCAAATTCATCCTCTTGACATTTATGTGTTTTAGGAAGCAACCATATGCTCATTGTTGAGAGCACCGTAACCTAGCCTGCCAGGATTTCACTCAAGTATCATTAACATTGTCATAATGGAAAATTAATTACATGCCACTAATAATTGTGTAATTGAGCAGTTTCCTCTATGGACTGGAGCAAAAGGCTGCTGCCAATTAAACCTCAGTGTTTTTCAGTGAACTAAGAATGGTCACATGAGAATAGCTTTATACCCTGGATTTTACACTTGAGTACAATTTTCTCAAGTGTGAAGGGCTTTCATGCGTGAGACTGAGGAATGACATTGCTTTGACTAAGATGCCAACGCTTGATCCCTTCTGAGTGCTTCTGAGCATTTTAAAAAGTGATGTATGCCTCAATGTATATCTGTCTTGGTGGAAAGAGAATGTACTGTATATACAATACGTATTCCCATAGCCGAGCACAAACAAGTAGTGCATGTGCAGTTCAAACAGGGAAGAAGTAACAAATGTTAAAGAAATACAGTAGGCTGAAGTCTTGGTCAAGTATTACTCTCCAGAGAGAAATCTGAACCCAATAAGGACATTATGATGTGAGGAAGGAGATGTATTAGCTGAGTTGTATGGTGGTTATGTGAACACTAGGTATCCCTGGCCAAAAGAGCTGCTTGTTATTTTAAAGATCACAGGAGAGGGAGGAGATAGTATAGGGAGAATGGAATTTTGACTTTTAAAAAAAATATAGGGGGCACAATACTGTTTGCTTACAAGCATGTGGTTCACTGAGCTAAACACAGTCCAGTAGCAGCTACTACATCAGGATGAAATTTCTGGGGTTTTTTGCTGCTTGCCTATGACTATGAAAACAGAGCCATAATACTAAGTTGGTGAACTGTACTTCGTCTGCTAGGCTATGAGCTGCTCCAGTTGAGGCTGGAGATATTGAAGCCGGAGTTTTTAAGGAATCAAGATGCATCTCTGGAAAGTGACATCTGACTAGGGATTGTGTAGATTTGTGTTTAAGCTGGAAGGGGAAGGATACTACCCATGCCACATTTTGATGTACCCATTTGCACAATATTTTTATTTTCTGTTTTGGAAAGGGGAAAGAAAAGAGCCTAAGTAACATTTATTATGTAAAATTCTTATTTAATAGATTGATGAACTGTTAAGCAATTCGGGAAGCGAATCAGCGTCGGAGGTAATCAGACTTCTTTACAATGCAACATTGACCTAAATCTTTGTTATTGCTATAGAAGTAGCTGTGTTCCGAAGTGCTGTGAGTATTAGTGACATACTAGGTTAGGTTATCTAAAACGGTAGATAACATTTTGGGAAAGACATGAGCTCACACCTGATACTGTATTGTAATAATTTCAGATTGATCAGTGTTTTTGGTGCCCACCATGAGTTAAATGAAACTTCAAAATTACTGTTGTTTTCATTTTATTTTATGTGGTAAGTTTTCTTGACTCTTTAGCATTTGTTGGCATACATTACCTGCCACACTTTTCTGTCTCCCCTGTTTCTGTCTAGCTTCATCTGCTTCAAATTGGTTACTTGAACTTTTATGGTAATGTGAGGGGAATACTGAAATGCCATCTGCTGGTTGATACAGGATACAATTTATTGCATAGGCTTTTGGATTAATAGATGAATAATTAGATTTCTATTGGTGCATCACTGGAATTAACAAGTTAGTGTTACATAGCTCATTGCAGTTGAGAATGCCTAAAATATATCTACTGTGTTTACCAACGGTACTCATGTGGGGATATTATATTGTAAGCTGCCATTGGGAGTCTTCAGATAGCACTATTCCTGATACATAATGCCATCTGGAATTTATCTATTTGAAGCAACAGAATAAGGATTTACCAGGCAGCTGTTGTTCACAACTTCTTTTTAAAAAGGTTTCTTACCAAGTGGTCTACTAGCCTTGGAATGTTAAAATCATCTAAGATTAGCTTTCAGGCTTTCCCCACTGTCTAAGATGGCTTTAAAAGAGTTTCTTCATAAAGTCTCTTTAGTTTTTTTATTAAAAATATTTTTCTTTGCAGGATCTTTATAATTAAAGATCACTCAAGCATTTGGCTACCTTTTTGATTATTAAAATTCAGGTACTAATAATCGTAATTGCATGCCGTCAAATCAATTTTGACTCATGGCAACCCCTTTCTAGATTTTTATAAGTAGGAATACACAGAAAAGAGAGGTTACTTACCTGTAACTTTGGTTCTTCGAGTGGTCCTCGAAGAAGTTTATGATTTCCTTCTTCTGGGGGTGCACTGGGACTATGCAGTTTGCCCATGACTACACATGCTGGCGCTTCTCCAGGAGGCAAGGTGGGGAATTGGACTCCCAATCTTCAGTCTGATACCTAAACCACTATTCCAGCCAGGTTAAATTGAGGCAGGTTCCATGAATCCTGGCGAGACTGTGCAGGCTTTGGCTTAGTGCTTCGATATAAAAATATGCATTCTGCTTTGAACTCCATGATGAAGAATGGGATATACTGTAAATATATTAACATACTGATACCTGTCATATATTTATTAGTTACAGATTACTCTACGCAGTGCTTAAACTTGAACATGAAGTAATAACGCAATCTGTAGTGTTTGTATTTTAGCTTAAAAGAGTTTAACCAACAGTTTTAAAATATCTTACCATGATTGTATAGCAGGAAATTGAAATCCCTTGTGCTAGCATTCATCAGATGGCAGCTCTTACAGAATGATTTGTTTTTTGGAGGTGGAGGGTGGTTGAAGAAAGCATGGAGAGGTGGCACTAAGGGAGGTGGGACTGGCAGTCATATCCTCGGCCGCATCCTAAATGGCTGTTGGATAATGGCTCCTGAGTAACAGTATTGTAATAGGAGTTTTAACACAACATTTAATAGAAGACTCATTGTGGCTGCTGTGTGTGTTTCAAGGGGTATTTCAGAACAGATATTTTCAATAGTTTACTATCTCTCTCTGTGTGTTTGTATGTACACCATGAGATATAACAGTGATTTTGTGTGTGTGTGTGTGTGTGTAAACACCATGAGATATAACTGTGATCAGCAGACTGATCTACAAATGAGATAAGTTTGAATCTTGCCTGGACTATGTGCTTAGTAGCAGATGAGACTCAACTGAGTCATTCTCTTTCAGGATCAAACGAGATGTTATCAGGAATGTATATTCTCTGCACATTTAGCCTGCTTTTCCTCAGAGATATGTTGCTTAGCAATCAAACTTGAATAGAAAAGCCATATTTATTTTCAATGACCAGTTGCAAAACAAAGCATACTAGAAGATAGCAAGATGATGTGAAGAAAATCACGTGCTATAAAAAACAGATGTCCTTCCCTGCTTAAGAGAGCACTGTGTCTACAGAAGAGCTAAGCATATTGTCTAGCTTGACATCTAGCCTCTCCATTAGGAATTATAATTATAATGAAGTTATCTTGCAACAGAGCTGTTTCAAGGAAGACAAAAAGTTTCATATACCTTGGGTATGCCCTAGAATTTCTGAGTAGAATTCCACCCAGGAGATGCTCTGAAGAAAAAAAGCATCTTCTCTGCTTTTTCCATTGCACACACCCCCATCATCACATTCCACATTGTTCTGAAAGGTCTCATGGCTCTTTGAAGGAGTTCTTTGCAGAGTTCAGAATGTTATAGAGTTGAAGGGAGGATTGGCAAAAATAGCCACCTGGCTTCTTCCAGTGGCAACATCTGCTTGATCTGAATCCTTTGCACAAATGGAAGGAGCCCTTCTATTCCTAGAGGGCCTTGTCTGGAAATAACCTGTTCATTAATATGCTACATAAATACGACACGTAATTAAAGTTCTTTGCCAGCTACTGTAATCAGAGTCGGAACAACATCTTTCTTTTCTTTTTTTACTGACCATCAAAAGATGGCTTAATTCTATTGCAGCCACAGTTTTTGTCCACCCACTTGCCAAGGAAGTGAATATTTCTATGGGATTTGAATTACTCACAGGCACTATTGGCTGCCCTGTCCAAATGTTCATGGCAACATTTGTTTTTGACAACAGGAAGGTGATGATTCATTGCTAGTGACAGTAGTTCCTGTAAAACCTAGCAAAACACCTGGGAAGATGAAAATAAGTTTTGAGGAACTAGAGAGAGAGAGAGAAGAACGAGAAAGAAGAAAACTTGAAGAAGAAAAACGATTGAGATATGAGCAGGAAAAGCAAGCTCTCAGGGAAGTCAAATATTTTTCACCAGATGTGGTAAGCAAAATGGGGGGGGGATGCTTTTGCATGATGAGCATAAGCATGTTCGCTTCAAACTAGGCTGCACTAATTACAGGGAAACTTCCTTCCAGGTGAGTAAGCTTAGGATTGCAGAGAAAGCTGATGCTGAAAACATATGCATGTTAATAATATCATAAGGGTTTGCTTCTGAACAATAAACATTTTGTACAGGATGAAGATGAAAATTCGGACAGTGAAAGAAAAGATTCTCCTTCTCCTGGTAAAGTGAAATTAACATTTGAAGAACTAGAAAGACAAAGACGAGAAAATCAGAGGAGACAAGCTGAAGAGGAGGCAAAGCTACGTTTAGAAGAAGAGAAGCGTGCCTTTGAGGAAGCAAGACGAAAAATGGTAAGTATCAAGGGTATGTTCCAACATACAAGGACAAAAAATGGCCATCATGGAAAGTGTATGTAGTAAGTTGAACTGTCTTACGGCATTTCTGAGGACTACCTGGTGGAAGACTTACCACCTGTATGTAAGCAGATTTACCAGAAACATGACGTGGGAGATATCCAGTTACCAGAGCTAGCTAGCTAATTAACTAAATTCAGCAGTTTTATTAAATGAAGATAACACTGCTTTCCCCCCAGCAGAGCATCGCACTCAGGAAATGCTCCTGATAGCAGTAGTAGGCTCTGTGTGTGTGTGACTTTTTCCAGTTTCCTAATTCCTATACTGTTACTTCCACCTGCATACATCTGCTTCAGAGGGCTGGGAAATCCTTTGGAAGAATGTGGGAAGTAGTGCTGGGGCCTGCAGGGAATTGGGGGCAATCAGTACCATTTTGTTTCTCCTCTTTCTATTGGTGCATCAAAACTTTCCAGGGACTAAAGATTTTTTATTTCTGGATGTCATTCTCTCCTTTTTATTTAACACTGATTCCTTGACTTAAATCCAGTTTGCATCTCAAACTGAGCATACCCATTGAAATTATAGGGATCTGGATAAGTGTTGATTCACTATTCACCAACACATTCAATAGGTGTGCTCTGGTTGGGACTACCAATTCAATTTAAGCCCTAGCTAGTAAAAAACTCAAAAATCCTGGTTGTTATAAACTTAGTTTAAGTGCAAGTTATTTTAGATTTAAGACATGGTAAGCTTTAATTATTTATGTAAAGTCTCAATCAGTTCTTTCTGTATTATTTAGTAATATATACACATTACTTGCCATGATCATTAATATTTAGTGATGAATGAATCCATCTACATGTGCACATTCAAAACAAACGTACTTTTTAGGGGTAATTTTTCAACCTCTGTGTGTTCTCCCTGAACTTTCTTTTCAAAAGTTTTTTAAATGTATACTGTTTTGAAAGGTAAATGAAGATGATGATGGTCAAGAAACTGAAAATTCTGTCAAGGAGTTCCGTCCCGGGAAACTGAGACTTACCTTTGAGGAACTAGAGAGACAGAGGCAAGAAGAAGAAAAAAGAAAAACAGAGGAAGAGGCCAGGCGGCGTATAGAAGAAGAGAAGAAGGCATTTGCTGAAGCAAGAAAAAGCATGGTATATAATGTTGCTGACCTACTGTAGGGATAAGCATCACATTCCTGATTGTACATGGCTGCTTCTTTGTTGTATTTCCACCAGACTTTCTCTTCAGGCAAGCTTTTGGCAATTAAGTGGCCTGCAGAAAAAGGAATCTTTAACGGGATTCTGTTCTTCTTCTTCCTCATTATGCCTCCTCCTATTTCTCAACATTGCTGGTTTATTGAAACAGACCTAAGGCTCCAGTCTGAAAATTAGGAGTCAAGTCCTAAAAATTTGTTTGTGAGGTAACATTTTGGCAAAATCAGAATTTTGAATTTCAGGAAGCAAATTAACAGCTATTGGCAATTGTAACCAAAGACTCTGATGGCTCCAGGTGTTGAAATTAATGTAGGGAGAATGATGATGATTGCTACTACTACTACTGTTATAGAGGGATCTTTGTCATTAATTTTTAATAGCATAACATTGCTTTAAGTTATGGGCTCTTAATACCGTATTTCCCGGAAAATAAGACAGGGTGTTATATTAATTTTTGCTCCAAAAATGCATTAGGGCTTATTTTCAGGGGATGTTTTATTTTACAGTCATGTCTTCGTCTTCTGGTTGCTGCACAATGGTGGAAGGTGGGGTTTCACTTAACTGGGGCTTATTTTTGGGGTAGGGCTTATATTAAATGCTTATTTTCAGGTTAGGTCTTATTTTTGGGGAAACAGGGCATTATATATTTAATTAAAAAACATTTATATTTCTTTTTACTGCGAGCTCCTCATTTTTATAAGTGGCCTTAGATCCCTGAATCGGGAGAAAAGGTTGGGTATAAATGAAATGAAAAAATACTCAAGAACCTACAGCCAAATTAGGTCACATGTGTAGTTGTGTAAAGAAATGGCAGAATAAACACGTTTGGATCTGCTACGGTAATGTGGCTGACAAGATTATCTATATTTCAGAGTGAGGATTTTAGCATATTTATAAATAAAAGCATCAGCTAATCATGGGTTGGAAGTTAATTTCCATCTATTATCCTCTACTTATCCACTTCAACAGGAAGATTTGCTCCTGAACAGGAAGATTTGCTGTATCAAAGTGTTTTGAAAAATCAGGGGACAAACAAAGGACAACATTATAGAGCTGCTCTCCTTTTGTGGGTGGCAATGAATGTGCTGAAGGATAACAGCAGCTCTGGCTTCATCCAGATGGGGCTGACATATTGGCTGAAATCTTGTTCCATAGCGTAGTAGGCCTATTGGATCAACAATGATTTGATGAGTCAGTTCCTCCATAAGTTCATTCATTCAAATGGGCCTACTCTAGTTGTGACTTACTGCGCTAAGCAACAGGATTTTGGCCACAATATCCAGTTTTGACAGCTCCATAACATTGCCTGAAGGCTTCTAAGTAGCAAACTAAAGCTAGCCTAACCCATGTAGAGCCAGATACAGTGGTGCCTCACTTAGCAATGTTAATCCGTTCTGAATAAAACATTGCTAAGCGATTTCATCGCTAAGCGATTTTAAAAAGCCTATAGGAACGTTTTAAAATGCGTTTAATATGTTCCTGTGGGCTAAAAACTTTCCTTAAAGCGAAATTCCTCCATAGTGGCGGCCATTTTGGGTGCCTCTACAGTGAGGCAAAACAGCGGTGGTCATTTTGTTTTTGCAGCTGCCATTTTGGAACTGCCGATCAGCTGTTTAAAAAAGTTCACTTTGCCATGATCGCTTCCCCGCGATCATCGCAAAGCGAATTTTAGCCATAGAGGACATCGCTAAGCGATCGCTCCAGCGATGGCCAAAAGTCCATCGCAAAGCGATTTCATCGCTCAACGAAGCGATCGCTAAGCGAGGCACCACTTTATTTTTGTTATTACATATACAAAAAAAGATAACTTTAACTATCTGCCTAAAACCATAAAGAAATGGACCAGGCTCACTAGTTTATGGAGAGCTTGCATATATGGATACAACCACAGAGAAGGCCCTGTCATATATTCCCACCAGCATAGACTCTTACAGAGGTGAGATATACCCCAATACCTGTATCTGTTTTCTGCCAAAAAGTGATCTCAGAACTGGCTCTATTTAATATTACCTCACTCAAAAGCATTTGTTTTCTTTAGTGAGGGGGGAAAAGACTAAACACTCCAGTCTTAAATCTTTCATTTCATCACAGAAATGGAAACATCTAACACCACTCAGAGATGGGGGGGACACCCTCCTTATCATAAAGTCTGTTTATGAGGAAATTGGTCCCTCGATTTTAGTACAGCGTATTTCATTTTTTTAAAAAAAGACTGTTTCCAAGTTCATAAGTTGTTTCATTCAGACAAAACAGGAATCCACTCTTAGCTGGAGGCTAAATATATGACTGATTTTTTTTTTTGCCAGCTCAATCTGAAGATCACTCATATCTTAGTTTAGCAGCCTTCAATATGTTAATCAAATCAAACAAATTTATTGTCATTGTAAATATATACATAGTATACCCATACAACAACGGGTAATCCAAATTGTCTTCAATTTTGGAGACCAATTAAAGATAAGAAAATAAACTACTACTACCATTAAGCATAGACCACAAGACACTTGATCTGTATAATTTTGGAAAACAGATTTAAGTAAGTCCAGGTATCTAAATAATAATTTAAATATTGTTATTTGTGCTAAATCTATCACTAATGAGAGATAAATTATTTCTAACAGGGCCTTGATGATGAGCTTTCACCTATGTCAAAAACTGTATCCCAAGAATCTCTCACACCTGGAAAACTGGAAATCAACTTTGAGGAGTTACTGAGACAAAAAATGGAGGAGGAAAAGAGGCGCACAGAAGAAGAGCGCAAACAGAAACTGGAAATGGAAAAACAAGAGTTTGAGCAGCTTAGACAAGAGATGGGAGAGGTCTGTCACTACTTGACATAAGCTGCTGCCTTCCCTCCACACTACCTATTTTTGAAAGAAACTATGGGATGAGAAAAGTATTCCTAATTTACAAACTTCCTCTTGAAGGCTAAAAATTAGATGTAGAGATCCTAAATGTCTATGAAAAGTACTCAGCTCATAGGATGCTCTTTAGTGAAGAGAGGGGTAGGGGTGAAAACAAAACCCTGATGTGTGATTTGAGGACCTTCTGGGACTGAATGAGATATAATGAACTACTGGATAGCTCTGTCATGTAGATATATGGCTGCATAGCCAGAGGTTGGGAGTTCAGTTCCCCACTGTGCCTACCTCACTGGGGCTGGACTCATTTTACTTTACTTTTACTTTTATTGAACTTATACCCCGCCCCTCTAGACGAAGTTTACTCGGGTGGCTGATCCATAGGGCCTCTTCCAGCTCTGCAGTTCCGAGACAACCACAGTGACGATGATTATAGTGCTAAGTGCCGTAGGGGAGCACCAAAAACTGCCTCCTTCTCTCCACATCTACTCAATTAGAATTCCTCATTACTTCACAAAGAAGGCTAACTTCAGATTCAATGCCACAATCAGGAACTGACAAAAACTAACATGAATGGCAGGCAAAATGTTGTAGATTTAATTCAATGGCCATAGTCAGATTAATATGCTGTAATTTACACTGTTAACGCTTTCTTATTTAGGAAATACAAATGTGTTTTATTATAAAAATCATTTACTACCAGAAATTAAACCTTCTGGCATATTTTTATTTTCCTTTAACAGGAGGAGGAAGAGTGTGAGACCTTTGAACTAAGCAGGGAATATGAGGAGCTCATAAGACTGAAAAGAAGTGGTTCAATTCAAGCAAAGAACCTGAAGAAAAAGTTTGAAAAAATTGGGCAGTTGTCTGAAGAAGAAATACAGAAAAAAATTGAAGAAGAAAGAGCAAGGAGGAGAGCTATGGATCAGGAAATAAAAGAAAGGGAAGCAGAGAAATTCCAAGAGGTATGTTTTGTTCTGCCTACAGTGGAAAAATTAATTCTTCAATCTGGAATTTTACGTGTAAAAAGGCCTGCTTTTTCCACTGTTACTTACAGGTCTCACTATAATCCACTGATCTGCCCATGTGCTGTCTTTAGGGAAAGCAATACATTGAGATTGCACTGAAGCACAGCTGGTGTAAATGAGTGTTTACACACGTTTATTACCTCTTCATGACTGGAGTCAATAGAGTAAAAATGGTAGGCTAGGAAATGAGGGGCTTGGAAAAGTTACAGGTGTCTACTGGATTTAGATATTGCCGAAACATTAGCTAACGTTAAAAAGCAAACACCTATCGAGGAAGCAAATTCTGGTTCATCATATTCGTTGTCGTTTAGTCGTGTCCGACTCTTCATAACCCCATGGACCAGAGCACGCCAGGCCCTCCTATCTTCCACTGCTTCCCGGAGTTTGGTCAAATTCATGTTGGTTGCTTCACAGACTGTCCAGCCATCTCATCCTCTGGCGTCCCATTCTCCTCTTGCCTTTCCGCTTTCCTAACATCAGGGTCTTTTCCAGGGAGTCTTCTCTTCTCATGAGATGGCCGAAGTATTGGAGCCTCAGCTTCAGGATCTGTCCTTCCAGTGAGCACTCAGGGTTGATTTCCTTTAGAATTGATAGGTTTGTTCTCCTTGCAGTCCAGGGGACTCTCAAGAGTCTCCTCCAGCACCACAATTCAAAGCTATCAGTTCTTCGGCGGTCAGCTTTCTTTATGGTCCAGCTCTCACTTCTATACATCACTACAGGAAAAACCATAGCTTTGACTATTTGGACGTTTGTTGACAAGGTGATGTCTCTGCTTTTTAAGATGCTGTCTAGGTTTGTCATCAATTTCCTCCCAAGAAGCAGGCGTCTTTTAATTTAGTGGCTGCTGTCTCCATCTGCAGTGATCATGGAGCCCCAAAAAATAAAATCATATTACTTGAATCTTATTAACTTCACAGCTTACCGCTTAACTACACTGGACAGAATTAATGGGTCTTGGAGTCTGTCTTCAGTATGTGGCATTTGGGTGGAATGATGGCTAGAGAAAAATCTCACCAAGCAGCTTAAAACTTCATGTACCTGGAAAGTCAAATCTTTTGAGATCCCAGTTCCTCAAGATCTGCTTTGTCAGCTTATTATGAGGCATTTAAGAAGGTTTTTAGACAGTTCCCCACTAATTCAGAATCAGACATACTTGTAGGGATCATTTGTACTTGGAACTTCCCCACCTTTCAAAATGCAGTTTGAAGAGGAATTGACATTGTAGTGTCATAGGTAAGAGGAAAATGGAAGGTTAATGGCAATGCAATGTTAACTGCGATGAAGATAGCCACCTGTGGTTTTAGAGATATGAATATATGGAAAATCTAGTTTGTGGTTATTGCAGATAATCTTGCAAGAATGACAGAGTGAGAGTGGCTAAAAGCTGTCATAGATCTAAAGACTAGTGCTATACCGTACTGGTAAGCTAGCAGGTTCTGCCATGCCATTATTTGGCATCACAGACAGAATACTAGCTCTTCATGTTTAAGACTGATACAGGTCCAGGAAAGCATCAATAGTATGAAATAGGGATGTCAGAGATGCTGAAGATTCCGATGCATTCTCCAGTCAGACTTGCTTGAGATTTTTAACTTAGTAAAACAGGATAAGTTTCTGTTTTGGTTTCGGAAGTATGTAGATCTATTGGAGGTTGGGTCACACTTGGAGACATGGCTGCAGACCTTATACAGTAAACAACCAAGAAAGCCTCACTGTTACAAATCACGAGAGCCATCGAGATTCCCATGTTAGGGAATTTTTCTTTTCTGCTGTTAGGTATGATACATCAGATGATACTTGTACATTTTCCTACTTTATGTGCAGAGAACAATTATTCATACTCTGTATTTTTTTATATTCAGCATCTTTTAAAATGTGCATATTCCATTTTGGATATTTACAGTGCCTTTATCTGCTCTGCATGTAAACCAGTTTTCTCCAGTTAAAAAGGGGACAAGATTTTTTTTTTTTATCTGAGTCTGCTGGTTACAGGGAGAATAAACGCCTGACAAGATATAGTCCTCCCCATTTATTTAGGAAGTGGTTGTTTTGAGGAGCAATGACAGGTCTAGTGGTAAATACCTGTATCCTTGCTGAGGCCAAAGGAGAAATAAACAATTAAATCTGGGGACAATGATAGACATATACAGAGACTGTTACCAGAAAGTGCAAAGTAATAGCTGAAAGGAAACTTCCACAAACCATATGTGTGCTGCGCCACCATAGCTTAAGGCTGCGAAAGGACAAAAGAGTGCTTTTTGGTCAGCTGCCATAAAGCATTCTCTGGCTTTATTATGCCTCTAAACAAATGCTAAAGTAGGGAGTCAAGAGATAAAAGGAACAACAGGGAAGTTTGGCCTTGGAGTTCAAAACGAGGCAGGGCAAAGGCTAATAGAGTTTTGTCAAGAGAACAAGCTGGTCATCACAAACACTCTTTTCCAACAACACAAGAGGCGACTCTAGACATGGAAATCACCAGATGGGCAATACCGAAAACAGATCGATTATGTTCTCCGCAGCCAAAGATGGAGAAGCTCTATACAGTCAGCAAAAACAAGACCTGCAACTGATTGTAGATCTGATCACCCACTTCTCATAGCAAAATTCAAGCTTAAACTGAAGAGAGTAGGAAAAACCACTGGGCAAGTCAGGTATAATCTTAACCAAATCTGTTATGAATACACAGTGAAAGTGAAGAACAGATTTAAGGAACTCGATTTGGTGGACAGAGTGCCTGAAGAACTGTGGATAGAGGCTCGTAACATTGTACAGGAGGCAGCAACAAAAACCATCCCAAAGAAAAGGAAATGCACAAAAGCAAAGTGGCTGTCCAACAAGGCCTTAGAAATAGCAGAGAAGAGAAGGGAAACAAAATGAATGGGAGACAGGGAAAGTTGCAGAAAATTGAATGCAGACTTCCAAAGAATAGCAAGGAGAGACAAGAGGGCCTTCTTAAATGAGCAATGTAAAGAAATAGAGAAAAATACCAGAAAAGGAAAAACCAGAGATCTGTTCAGGAAAATTGGAG